AAGCTCTGCTTGCAAGGCAGGTGCTCCAGCCCCTGAGCCTCTGCTGGTCTTGATTGTCATCAGTGCCACCTATGTCTATGTTGTCCAAGGACTTGCATAACTACCTACCTACCTGGTTTATCTGCATGTCTTGCCCTTTGTCTTCTTTTAGCAATGCTTCTAATTCAGAAATCAGATGGTAGCGTGTTTTAGTATCTTCTAAGTGTTTCTAACAATGGCTACCCATCAACGTTTTCCTTGTAGTTCCAGGTGCCTCTCAAAATGTGAAGTGACTGAAACTTGAAATGAAGAGTACATAACATGAAGCTCAGCAGAAGGTTTATAGGAACACTATTATCTGAATAAGAGCATTCCAAACTGCTAAGAGATCTTGGGAAATATATTAAAATTGTTCTTTTAATGTGAAACTGTATTTTTGCATACAACCATGCTACACAGGGTAAGAATGATTTTTTTAAAAATGCTGCTTTTGCTGTGAACCTCTAACATTCCATGAAAAATAGTTTCAACGTTCATTTTTAATATTTCAGAAGTCTTTAAAGCCAGGTTACTAAAATTTAGGTCTTGAATGTGAGTGCTGTGGTTTCAGTTTGAGGAGTTCTGAGTATCTGTAGACCTCACTGAAGCACTGGGAGGTTCAGATGCTATTACTGAGTGGCACTGGTGGAAATTCAGGGGCCTTTACACATTCAAATCTACACTGGACCACCTTGGTAAACTTATTGTCCTGTAGCATCTGGTAGATCTGATTAGCTGTTGTCAAAAGTCCTGATTTCCTTCTCAGTTTTCTGTCACATTAGTGCTCTTCAATCCCACGGTCAAGATGAACAAATCCATTTAAAGATTAAGGTATCAAAAGAATGTACTTGTAAATAACAGGAAAAAGAGCCATACGTGTTGTTTTAACTCTAAACCAGTCTCTGAGCTGGACATTATGGCTGGCACCTTGTTTTCAGGTCATGTTTCTCCACTGCGTGATAATTTTATTGGCGACGTTGTTTAGAAGTAATGAATGAATGCAAGTTACACAGATGATCCCAAATGAGCGTCAGCAAAATCCAGCCACTAAGGTCTGTTATGTATTTATGTCTATGAGGAAAAAAAAATTGAAGGGTTAACTTGTGCATGCTATTTTTCATATAGTACCTTAAAAATTCATGCTGCCATAATGGGTCAGGCAGGCCTTGGAATTACAGAAATATCAAACAAAAAGTGTAATTGCCTTATCTTCAGGGAGTGATGAATTTAAAATCTGATACCCTGTGAATCCCTTGGTCTATGTACAAATGTTATGCTTCACCAGAAAGCATGGAATCCTAGTTCTTCAAAGGGATAAGATACAGATGTTTCTGTGCTGATGATTCATTGTATAGTAAAATGTCACTGCCTAGAGAACAGCACTGCATACTGAAATTTAATTTCACCTGATTCCCATTTGGAGGGAAAGAAGGAAACATTTTTATGTCATAAAAAAAAAAAAAAAAAAAAAAAAAAAATAGCAGCTGTTTGAAATTTGCTGAGAGGCTTGGAATGTAGTTTTAGTTGAGGTGTATTAGCAGGCAGAAAGCAAGCAAAGAGGTAAAAGGTGCAAAAGAGGTCCATGATACTGTTCTTAAGTCTGTCATATGAACACAGCTATCAGGAATGCATTTGAGTGTGATCAAAATTGCGTATACTCACTTGCATGTATTGCGCAGATGAATACATTTGGGAACCAGGGCTTTAGAGGCAATATTCTTATCATTCCAATGCCTCAAGCTGGGTCTCTTGGAACTAAGCGGATTTTACTGAAGTGCCAGAATATGAGTTTCTGTTTTCAAACATACGCGCTCCACTCTGTCTTACTGTGCCTGCATTTGTGGATGGGGTTCACAGGCCTGGGATTCAGTACCAAAGTATACTCCATGGTGAACTAGGAGTTTCAGAAATGTGATTTACAGCAAGGGGAATATGTATGCCAGATGATAGAAAACATTGAAGAGAAAGATATTTCTGAAAATTTATTTCTCTTCTGGTTTTAGGAGCTTGTGCAAGATGGTCTCAGAGCTGGAAACCACCTTCTTGTACTTAGACATCCAGACATCTCTGTTTCATTTAAACAACATCCAGGATAGCCTGTGCATTAAGAGAGGAAGCAAACCAAAACCAAACCAACATAAGGACAAGAGGTAGAAAAAATGGATTCAGCACCTTCCTTGGACTGAGGAAATTAAGTTCACATTTCCACTTCCCAGTAAGTTCCCCATGTACAAGCCTAGGAGAGAGATGAAAAAAATGAAACCTCTCCTGTTGTAACTATGACTCAGTGTAGAAAAAGATGTGAGATTTGTAATCTTGATTTAAGCAGAGTTAAACATGATTTCATAGCTCAAGGATGGAGGCACTTACCTACTGGGAGAAGGAGGAGGGGAGGCAATCTGGATTCTGGCCCCTGCTTCAAGCACTATTTATGTATGTTACTCAATTACAAATGCAAAATGTGTAGGCAGCCCCTGGGGCAAGAACCCAGGACTTCCTTTTCAAAAGGAACACCTATTAGGGTTGCAAATTATCCTCTCTCAATGAATCTTGCTTCCTGTCCGGTACAGAAGTATGGCAAGTATGGCTTCACCAGGCACGACAGACAGTTCTCCACCCTGAGCTTCACCTTGAGTTGGTGCTGGATGCACTGTTGGGAGATGTGGGAAAGATCACCTCAGGAAGGTGAACCTGCATCTTCCGCTTCACAAATAAGTGCTTTATCTACAAGTACGATATGATGTAAAACGTTGGCAATCACACTGCTGCAACCTCTGGACATGTTTCTGGGAGAAAGTGTCTGGGGCTGTTGTGCTTCATGACAAGGTTGGTGTATGTTAGGCATGCTCAGAAGATGCCTACCTCTTGAAGGACCTCAGGAGATGCCTCACCTGTGCGTCACAGGCAGGCTTTGGTGCAAGGCAGGTTGCAAGATTTTCAGCTGTATAGAAATAGCAGTAGCAATGGGAAATTCAGCAGCAGAACTTTTAGATAATTTTATCAGCAAAAACATGATGTAGACTTTTGCGGCCATTTCGCATATGGGTACATGCGTGAGTACAGCTTCCTGGCATTTTCTGGCTTTTTGGAATTTGGCCATCAGTGACTTTCTCAAAGTTATTTTGTGAGCCACCAGCAGGCCGTAAAATTAGAACCCAGAAATCCTGCTCTGCTACAGTCTCTCTGTAAGACATGTAAATATATTTACAATTAAAACCAGTCTTTTAATGTTGTTGTTTTGTTGGAAATGAAGTACCTGGCACCTATCTAAATTTGAGAAGAATCTCCACTGATACTCTCCACATCTATTAAACATTTTGTCTCTATGTCATTGTCATGGGTTCATTAGTTCCTTGAGAGATTTTCCGATAAATTCTTTTTCCATCTCTCTGCTCGCCCAACCTCTATTCTCTTTTATTCTGGGTTCTATTCCCTCAGGAGACCAAAATCCTGCTCCCTTTGCTCCTCTCATCATTCCTTCCAAAGAGACTATTTGTCTAAATGAAGCAACAGAAAGATGAAGGTCAGATTTTTTTTTGCTATTATTTTGAATACAGTATTATAAATGCATGCTTGTCGTTTTTATGTGTTCATAGATGAATAAATTGTATTTGCTTTGAATAATGCTAAACAATCCATAAGAAATTAGAGTTTACTCTATAGTAAAAAATATACAGAAGACTACAGCAGGAACAGCCTTCAATAGGATTTGTATTTAAATAAAATGGGCAAGTCAACTTCCACTGTCAGATGTCAGTTCAGCAGAATTATTTAAAACACAGCTGAATAAGGTGCTTAGTACATTTTAAACTTTTACACAGTATGATGGGAGAAATTTTGGTAAGTGAGGCCTTATTTGGAAGAACAGCATAACTTAGGTAGCATAAAACAAGATTTTGGTCCTTGCTGTGCTAGGGCTGTTACCTTTCCTCTGTTCACTGTGTTAGTATCCACTCTTAAAAGTGTGACCAGTCTGAATATTGGTTCATCAAAAAGAACTTCTGAATTAACCTTCCTTTCAGGAGAAAATAATTTCCACATGATAATGTGTTCTTTGATGGTTTATTGTGTTTTGTTGTTTGTTTTTGTTTTTTTTTTTCTTTTGTGCTAATTGTTACACATCTTGAATTTGGGCAAGTAGACCATGTTTTGCTCTTTCTACTGGTCATCTAAAATGGTGATAGAACTGCAACCACAGTAACATGGATCTGAAGCTTAGCAAAAATTCAAATGCATATCCAAAACCTCCTAGAAATATGGAAGTGAAAAGATGTCCAAGAAATGAAAGACTTATTATTTAGAGAATGGAAAGGCAAAGAAAAATGCTGAATCTCTTCTCCTCCATCACTATACTTGGATTTAAGATTAATTAATACCAATGAACTGGAGATACTGCTCCTGTCTGAAAAAAGTGTTTATCGAATCAACGTCAGCTAAAGCTTTAGCCTTAAGCAGTGTACTTTACTGACACGCCATGCACAAGCCTCGTTTCCCCTCACCACCAGCAGGTCTTCCCTGCTCCGGAGGGCCAGAACCCTTTAGAACAAAAAACTGAGGACTGCCTGTAGGGAA